CTATTATTTGTCTATTTGTTTTCCTGAGGAGCTATCTTGTAGCTAACAATATGTAAAACAATAACCATTGATAATTTCCTACCACTTTGTCTGTAATTTGGTAAGTCCCCCCTATTATTATGTTATCCTTCTTTTACTCTTTAAAATTAAAAAAAAATAGCCCAAAGCCAGATGCCCACTGACAGAGAAATGGATAAACAAGATGCGGTATATTCACGTGTATTAGCTTTCCCATTGCTGGAAAACAATGCCCAGCTCCTTGGCTCTTGATTTTAGGAAATTTAGTCATGCTTGGCTCTTTTGGCAACATCATGACAGAAAGGCACAGCAGAATAAAGCTGCTTAGTTCATACCAGCTGAGAAGCAGAGTTGGGGAATAGGGCCAGAGGTATAGGACCAGACATAGACCTCAAGTCCACGCTTCTTTGGCCCACCCAGACACATGCAGAAATGTCCTCCTCCTATGTCCCAAGTGGATCCCAAAGGCAATCACCTTGGCACTCCACGCTAACTATCACCCCATACAGTAGAATATTATTCAGCCCTAAAAAGAAAGGAAATTCTAACACATGCTGCTACAACATAGATGAAACCTGAGGACAGTAAAATACACCAGTCACAAAAGGACAAATATTGTATAATTCCACCCATTTGAAGAACCTAGAACAGTGAACTTCATAGAGACAGAAAAAAAATGGTGGTTGCCAGCATTGGGAGAGTTACTAATAGGGAGTTAGGGTGTAATGGCTACAGAGATTTTAGTGTTGAAAGATAAAAAATTCTGCAGATGAATCAAGGCAATAGTTACACAACAATGTGAGTACACTTAACCAGACGGCTGGAATCAAGGATTTTTAAAGCCAACTAAAAGAGCAAGTAACTAAGGGACCAGAGGGGCTCAGAGTCAGAGAAGTAAAAAGTACAAAGGGGCCAGGCCGGCTGTGTTTGTTGGCCGGTAATGGTTGCGGAATTTTGCCCTCTCTTGGAGTCTTGGAAACTACAGTCATATTCTTTTGAAGGTTCTATACCCGAGAATGGCTCTCAGGTTCTGGAAAAGTGCTTCTGATTACAAAAGCTACATATTCACAATGGCAAGCCCATCTTTTAGTAAATGCCTGGGAGATAATTGTAGCCTATAGAGCAAGGCTCGTTTTTAGTTTCACTTCTGTATTTGGCTGTCCCAAAAGACCACACTGTAAACATTTTCCCTCACTTCCTACAATGGTTTTGAGTTCCTCAAACTGGAGGAACCAGTGTTATTTTGACTGACTGGCCTCTGGGCCTAACCAAAGACACAAAACAGAAGGCCCAGGCTCTCCAGAGAAGTGGAAAGATCTGGTTACTGTGTCTTTCGCAGCAGTTGGCTGCACTGGACCCCTATGCTTTGGCCTGCCCAGGCTTCTTGGTGTGCTGGGCATCCTTCATCCCCTTTGCCTGCCTCTGTGTATGGTTCTTGCTTTAGAAGAGAGGACTTGAGAGGAGATTGAGGAGAAAAGAGGAGTCCCACAAAAGGCAGATGGATTGAAGAGGACTTGGAGGCCAGGGGAAGGGAGACTGAGGGCTTCTCAGGAGCTGTGAAGGCCTGGAGCTGGTCCCAGCAAGATGGCCCCAGTGAGACAGGATAGAGGGTTGCATGCTCCCTAAGAGATATTTTTCATTTTTCCTCGATTGCTTCAAATGCTTTGCAGCCATCCTGGATACATCAGGCACCCATGCCCACTCTGGGAGACATATACTTTGGCTGCAGCAGGCTTTGGACATGAACCTATCTTAGACAATCATTCCTGCAGCCTCCCTGGATGATTCTGTCCCTTTGCAAGTCACCCTCAGTCAGATCCGCGAGAGTCATTCCTTACCAATGACCAAACAGGAAGTCTGAAACTACACACACATGAGCCCTCTTTTCCTTTATTACCAGCCTCCCGAGACCCTTCATGGGTTCAGTATGTCACTGGTCTCCTTATCTAGTTCTAGTAAAGCCTCTAGTTCTAGTAAAGCCTCTTTTATTTTCGTCTTTTTGAGACAAGGTCTTACTATGCAGTTCAGGCTGATCTTGAGCTCACTTTGTAGCCCAGGCTAGACTCAAACTCGCAACGATCCTCCTGCCTCAGCCTCCAGAGTGCTGGGATTACAGCTGTGCATCACCATGCCTGGATAATGCCTCTTTTTAGATGGTATATTTTTGCCTATTGGTGATTTACATATCCAGTAGAGCATGTTGAGCTGGTATATTAAGAACCCATGCCCTGAAAGCAGCTAGAGTCAGAGACTGACAGAGAGCAATGGCAAGTTGCTGGGAACTGCTGACTCTGGTGGTCTGAAGAGCTCTGGAGGCCTGATAGTAGCTGCTTACTCTGAGGAGCAGGGAGAGCTTCTAACAGTGGAAGGACTGATAGCCACTGGGACTCACAGCTCTGGGCTATTAACACGAAATGAGCTATACTTTGCCAGTTCCTGAGTTCAATACAAAATGAGTGTTCTGGTTTGTATCTGGATGTCCCCCTCAAAGCCTCATGCGGTCACGAGGGGCAGGCTGTTCACAGGTGGCTGAATCTAGAGTTTGTGATTGGTTCATTGTCTAGCGAGGGGATTGGGGGTGTGAGGGCTACACCAGCCCTCGGGCGGGCAGCCTGCATACAATATAAGGGAGAGAAAGAGGCTGCTTCTCCCTTTTGCTCTTGTTGCTTTTGCTGTCTTCCACCACCATGAACGGTTGCCCTCTGCCATGTGCCACTCTGCCTTGGAGGGAGCTGACTATGGACTGAGACCTCCACAGACTGTGAGCTAAATAAACCTTTCCTCCCTTAACTTCGGGTGTCAGCTATTTTGTCTCAGCAATGAGAGAAAAATAACCAAGACAATGGGCAAGAAGCTTCAGCCATTTGGTAACAACTTGGAAGCCCACATGGGAACCTTCCCCACTTTAGAGGGTTTTGAAGAAGAGGGCGGACAAGAACCAGCCCTTCACACACACACACCATTTATCTACCTGCATGAGGGTCCAGACAGTAACTGCAGAGGCAGGATGGGGACATGTGCACAAGGGTCCAGGATCTTCCCAAGAGGGAAAGGACAGGGAGTCCAGGAATCAGTTTTGAAACATGTCTGGAAGTCCTAGCTGGTACAGGTGAGGGGAGTGGGAGGGGGCAGGGCAATTTCGTGAGACTACGTCTTAAAAAAATCATACCAGTCATAAGTAAATAAAAGTGTAAAGAGTGAGTATGATGTTGCTATACCCATCTCTAATTGTGTTTTAGCTATGTCAGGAATATATATGGAATACATGTTCTAGATAAGGAGACAACACCCATGTTCCTTAGTGTTCTTTGGAGAAAATAAATCCATCACTGCAGGTAGACACATGAGACAAACAGACAAGCACCTGGAACATAACTCACGAGTCACATCCAAACCTGAAATAGAAACAAAACGTTTCCATAAAATCGCCCACATGCCCAACCTGAGCAAGTTTCTGAAGAACCTCAGAACTGACCTTAGTTCTTTGAAATGAGCTTCACCAAAGGCCACGTTCTCCGACATTGCCTCATTTCATCCCTTCTGTCGCAGACAGCATCCTCCCTCCTCCCCACCACCCCCTGCCTCGTGACTGGCCTCTTTGTTTTTCCATTCATCTCTGGGGCAGAAACTTCAGAACTGCTAAGATACTGTCAGGGACACCGGTTGTGTTTTGTCCACCCTCCTTTCCACCTTCCCTGGCTTCTGATGACAGGACTGAGCTGACTCGGCAGGCAGCCGTCCCAGCCCTCCTCTGGCTGTCACGGGAGAGGACGCTAGTCACACCACCTACATCAGGCAGGCATCTGACCAGCCTTGCTCTGGAGCCTCAGCCTCTTCAAGCCCATGACAGCAGACATCGATCCGAGAGGAGGCACGTAATTCAACAGTGGACTCTTTTCTTGAGATTTTCGACTGGACAGGAGAATGGAGACAGAAGAGTGACTGTTTGGGATCTGGTAAAGAAAACTGCCCTCTCCTGTGCTATCTCATCAGGCTCACTCTGGTGACAGTGACACCTGTGCCAAGCCCGTGTTTTCTTCCAGTTTCGGCCTCCCAGCTTTCTTGCGTTCGGGCAAGAAGGGAATGCTCCTCTTCCATGAACAAGGTCACCAGGCTGCTCCCAACAGGTGGGCCCAGGCTCCTGCTGCTGCAGTGGTGACCCTGACAGTGGTGACGCTTCAGCTGCGGCCACACAGGTGGCTACCTCTTAATGCACATTCTATCACCCAAAGGGCAGAAGAGCAGCCACTCACCGACTTGTCTCCCCAACCCTCCGCCCACTGCTCCCGCCTCTTCTTGCCCTGCCCCCTCCTGCTGCCCTCACCTATACCACCTGGGACTTCCAGACACATTTCAAAACTCTGATTCCTGGACTCCCTGTCCTTTCCCTCTTGGGAAGACCCCGGGCCCTTGTGCACATGTCCCCGTCCTGCCTCTGCATCTCTGGACCCTCATGCAGGTAGATAAATGGTGTGTGTGTGTGAAGGGTGGAAAAACACTTGGGTCTGCCTGTCCCTGCGCCTGCCTGACCGGGTTCCACTATGGACACAGAAACAGCCGTGTGATAAGTTCACAAGGAGTAGCAGAATCTGTTGGGAAAATGTTTTGAAGTATTTATTCATGAACCACTTCTCTGTGATCATATGTCAAGCTTGTGGTTTATAAGTTCCTTGATTATAGCTATAGTTACTTTAATTTTTTTTTTCATCCAGGCCCTTACCCACAGTAGGCACACATTCTATCACAGAGCTATATTCCCATCCCACTTACTTAATATTTAAACCCAAAAGCATAACACAATTCTACATATTTTGAGGGTTCAAAAGCGTGTGGCTGGACTCCAGACCAAGGTGGGCAGAGATAATAACTCAATGACAGTAAACAAGTCCGTGGCACCTACCAGGTATCCTTCTGCTGTGGCTTGAGTGTGACCTCCCAAGGTTTATGTACTAGAAGCTTGGTCCCTGGTGTGGCAATGTGAGACATGGTCAGCACATCCGAGAGGTGGAGCCTGAGCCAAGTGTAGTGGTGTACACCTGTCTGGAAGGCTGAGGCAGGAAGAATGCAAGTTTGAGTCCAGTTTGGATAACTTAGGGAGACCCTGTATCAAAATAAATAATAATAATAATATAAGGAGCTGCTGAAGGCCCTGAGTTCAATCCTCAGAGGTGGAGCCTCACCAGAGGTCATTAGGATTAACACTTTAATGCTAGTCTCGGGATAAATTAATTCCCTTGAGAGCATACTGTCATAAAAAGGCCCAGATCAGCAGATCAGTCCTCCCTCACCCTTTGGCTTCCTGCATAGCCCTGTGGCAGTCTCACGTGTGCTCCCCAGATTGTGACATCATCAGCATGCGGCCCTCACCAGAGTCCAGCAGATGCCAGTACCATGTTCCTGAACCTCCATAACCCGGGCTACATAAACCTCTTTCCTTTACACATTACCCAGCCTCGGATACTTTGCTATAGCAATAGAAAGCAGATGAATACACTTTGTGAGCATTGCATATTCATGTACTCACTTTATGCTCATGACAATCCTAGGAAATAGGGGCCAATATGATCTCCATTTGGCACATGAGGATATAAGTGCTCGGAGGCTGACCAACTTGCTCAAAGTCACACAGCCAGGACTCCAACAGAAGTATCTACCTCGGGACCAGGCTCCGACTTTCCAGGGTGACGGAAGATCATGGGCTGCCAGAAGATCTCCTGTGGGACAGTCTGGCCAGGATGAGAAGCTACAGGAAAAAGGGCCTCCAATTACTGAGCTCTTCAACCAGCCGGAGGCTGTACTCATGCTCGCATCGCTCCTCCAGTGAGCACAGGGCCCAGGCCTGGCCAACAGATGCAGTTTCTGTGAGTTTCCTCTTCTCTGTAACGGCTAGGGGTGTCCTGCTGAAATCACTTCTCTACTGGGAGACACAGACACTGGTTATGCACCATGCTAAGAACTAAATGTGTATTTACCCTTCTAAGCCTCACATTATTCCCATGAGGTATGTACTATTTAAAATCTTAGCTACTTTATCAGAGTAATTCTTGCAAGCAGGTTAGAGTCAAGCCTTGTGGAAACAAGGTTTATTATTTAAAAAAACAGTGTAGGGGCCAGGATATGGCTCAGTGGCACAAGTGCCTGCCTGTCAAGCACAAGGTCCTGAGTTTGATTCCCACTACTGCACCCCCCCCCAAAAAAAACTGTCCAGGGAGAAAGACAGTTAAGATAAAAAACAAAACAAAACAAAACAACAGTGTAGGGGCTAGGGATTTAGCTCAGTGGTGCAGCGCCTGCCTGGCAAGCGCAAGTTAGTGAGTTCGATTCCCAGTACCAGAGTAAAACCAAAAGAAACCAAAAAAACCCCAAAACAACAGTGTATACCCTCCAGCCTGCACCTTTCCCACTTCCAGGTTCAACCACTTTTAACTACTACAGATGTTTCTTTTGTTTCTTAAATATACTTAAAGTGTTACTTTTTGCTTTTGTAATATTAGGGCTGGACTTGACCAAATCCTCTGGTTTCATTTCTTTTACTATCATTCCCACATTTTATTTTGAATGAGAATCTATGGAACTTCAAAATGTATATGCTAGATTTTTAAGAAGAGCTTTGTAAGGATCTGTGTAGTCAGTGACAAAATGCTTAAATTTATCTTTTTGGGTTTTTTGAGATAGGGTCTTGCTGTGTAGTTCTGGCTGGCCTCGAACACATGGCAATCCTGCCTTAGCCTCACTGTGCTGGGATCATACCTGGCTATGATTTATTTTATATTGGAGTCAATTGTCTCTTAAGGAACAAAACAATTCAACTAGGAGCCTTAGTACTGGCCAACCAAACTCTTGGTCTTCTGTCCTGTTATTTATTTGTTACCCATTTTAAAAAGTAACACTTGTACATATTTCTGGGGTACAATGTGATATTTTAATACATGTATGCAGTGTATAAGGATCAGATTGGGGGGCTGGTGTGTTCATTTCAAATGGTTATCAATGCTTTGTGCTGGGAATATTCAAAATCCTCTGTATTACTTTGAAATACACACTCGATTGCTGTCAACCATAGTTACCTTACTGTGCTACAGAACATTAGAAGTTATTCTCCCTATCCAACTGCACCCCTGTACCCACTAGCCACCTTCTATCCCTGCTCCCTTCAGCTGCTGGTGACCATTATGCTACTCTCTTCTATTATGAACTTAGCTTCCAAATATGAGGGCAAATGTGGTATCTGTCTTTCTATGCCTGGCTTATTTTGCTTAATATAATGTCTCTATTCCATCCATGTTGCTGTCAATAACAGAATTTCACCTTTTTAGGGCTGAGCAATACTCTATTGTGTATTACTGTCAATTTTAAATTCCTAATGGCTTTGTTAACAGTACTCCAGGCTCTATCATGAATAAATACAGTGTACACTTAGTAAAAATTAATCACTCATAATGTTAGTCTAATAATTAGTCTTGAAACTTGCTACATAAAAACCTTTAAGTACCCTTCAAGCTACTAAAAAGATTATCTAGTTTGGGATCATCTGTGCCTCTCAAATTTTAATCCTCTATGTCCTTTGTTATTCATTGCTGCATTACAGATTGCTCCAAATTTCAGCTGTTTAAAATATCTATTATCTCACACCATTTCCGCGGGTCAGGAACCTGGTACTGCGTAAACTGAGTCTGGGCCACGGTCTCACAGGTCTGCATTCTTGGGCGACTTGGCAGGGCTGAATCTGTCTGCAGGGCTGCTGTTGACTGACAGGGTTCCTCCCCCAGAGCGGATTTCGAGGCAGAGGAAGCCACCGTCAGTCTGTAACAGGATCCAACGCTGGAAAAGACGTGTCCTCACTTCTGCCCTGTTTTGTTACAAATGAGTCATTAAATCAAGCCCACACCCACGGGAAGGAAGATTACACTCCACCTTCTAAGGGAGTGGCTTACCAAAATAATACCTGGATTCAAAACCTTCACATTTTCTAACTCAAGGGTTGTCAAACTATAGCCGACGGCCCAACCCAATGTTTTCATACGTACTGTTTTATTGTGATGTAACATCCATTCCCTCGTCTTGGCTGCGGCTGTTCTGTGCTACAGTGTTCCAGTACAGAAGCAGTCACAACTATGTTTCAAGGGCTGGGGATTTAGCTCAGCGGCAAAGCCCCTGCCTGGCAAGCGCAAGGTCGTGAGTTCGGTTCCCGGTACCAGAGAAAAATGCCCCCCCAAAAAACAAAACAAAAAAAAAAACAAAAAAAACAAGTATGTTTCAAGCACTTACCCCGTGGTCCTTTAAGACCAAGGTGGCTGATCCTGGCCCTAACTGTTTGAGTATGTAATTGATCAGCTAGCGCTGTGTAAAGACATCTAAACAAAGTCCCCTAAAGCCAGTTCCTATTCCTCATTTCATTTCCTTCAGGGAAAAGGTTTAAGTGTTATTAAGAGTTTGAGGTTAAAAAAAAAAAAAGACTTTGAGGTTAAACTGACCTCAATGGGGGAAATTTTTGGCTCCTTATTAGCTTGTTAATTAACTAGGCAATTAGGTAAGCCTCAGGGCATAGTGCTGCCCTGAAGGTTTTGAGAGTTAGAGGTAAGTAGGATGAGTTTGAAAAGGGAATGGATACAGTTTAGGGAGAGCCTGAGAAGCCAGGAATAGAAGAAAATGAAACCTTAAAGCTTCCTGCTCTGGTAATTTTAATTTCTCCTAAGCAATGAAATAAATATCTACAAAATAAACACAATATTGATACATTTTCCAGACCACTTAATTTTTAACAATTAACTTCATTTTATTCACTATTATTACACAGGTCTTACTTTCACTAAAAGCAAAACTTATTACTAGTAGTATTTTATTTATTTATTCATTCATTCATTCATTCATTGAGACAGGGTCTCACTATGCAGCTCAGGCTGCCTTGAACTATGTAGCACAGGTTGGTCTCGAACGCACAACAATCCTGCCTCAGCCTCTCAAGTGTTGGGGTTATAGGTGTGTGCTTCCACACTGGGCACTAGTAGTATTTTAAATGAGATCAGTGAAACTGAATATTGGTTTTTTTTTTCAGTTCATGTTTTCAGTACAGGTTACATTTCTCACAAGCAGTTGGCACGTGTACATAATACATATTAATTTTTTGTGCCCTACCCCTCATCCCTCTCTGCTCCATCTCTTGGTTCCCTTCCCATTGAAAAAGATCTCCCTACTTCCTACTGCTATAAGGGAGATGCTAGATGTCAGATATACCGAGTTTGTGTTCCTTGAAGTCAAGGAATGAATTGTAAGGAACGATGGAAGTTAAGAGTAGGAAAATTTATTGGAGAAAAGGAATGGGGAATAAGGGGAGCTCCTGAGAGACAGGAGGGGTCCCGAATGGGTTGCCAACAAGCCCACCTCTCAAAGGAAGTTTTATACAGCAAAATCATAAGGCGGGTACAATGTGGGTCAAAATTATGATCAACCAATAAGATTGTAAGTATAGTAGCTTAGGTAATATTGATCTAATGGTACCAAGGATACCTGGGTGACATCATTAACCTTGGTCAATAATCTATAGTCTTAGTCTTAGTTTTAGTAGTCTTAGTGGCCTTAGACAGTAGGTGGTAGAGGATGGCCCACTCCTAATGAGATAATGGGAAATCCCCAAGTCCCATAATCCCAAGTCTCTGCTCATCCCGTGGGAAGTATGTACAGCTAGCCATTATGACCTCGTTGTGACTTCTTCAGATGCGCCTCCAGCCACAGCGTCCATGTGTTCTCATCTTCTGCGCTGACTCTGAGGGGCCCAGCCCTGGCTGACTGCCGACTATATTTCTCCCTAACTTAGCTGTCTGTAATATTACTATCTTTTTTCCCTTTGGTACCAGGAATCACACTCAGGCACTGTGCCACTACTATATCCCCAGCCCACTACTATCTTTTATTTTGCTCTTTATTTATATTTTGGGTTTTTCATATAAGAAAGACCATGATATTTAACTATGCTTGAGTCTGACTTATTTCACTTAACATTATTTATCTGAGGTGCACCTGTTTACCTACCAGTGCCTCGAGTCCATCCTTCTATATGGTACAGCAGTGCCCCATTCTGTGTAAACACTTTGGGCTTTCTTTTTTATTTGTTTGTTTTTTGTTTTTTTTTTGAGACAGGGAGACAGTCAAATTGATTTTAGAAAAACTATAAAACTACCTTGTTGCTGCATCTACTACTGAGGGATGAATGACTTGGTTGTCCATCGTTCTGTCCCAACTTGTACCCACCTCATGATTTTGCTCTATAAAACTTTGAGAATCGGGCTCGTCAGCAACCACTTTCTGGGTCCCCTCCTGTCTCTCTTCGGCAGAAGCTATCTTTCCCTCAATAAATATTTCCTACTCCTAACCTTTGCAGTTCCTTAGAATTCACTCTCCGATTTGGGGAACACGAACTCAGCGTACTGGACATCTAGCAGGTGTGCCCATTTACCTGTCAGTGCCTCCAGGCTATCCTTCTTTACACCAGCGTCTTGCCATCTAGGAGGCTGGGAGTTATATTCCTCCTATATCTTTTGGAGGTCCTATTTCATTCCTATATGACCTAGAAGAGAAATATTTGAGTCAAACGGAATTTTTTTGATTGTTGGTTTGGTTTGGTTTTGTGAAACAGAATCTTGCTTTGTAGTGCAGGCTGGCCTTGAACTTACTATGTAGCCTAAGCTGGCTGGAAACTCATGGCAACCCTCCTGCCTCAGCCTCATGAGTGCTGGGATTATACGCTGTTGCCACCGCTTCCGGCTGTTTTTTAATTTTCTTTGAGGGATGTCCATGCTGACTTCCATCGTGACTGTACTAGTTTATAGCCCCACCAACAAGGTAGAAATATTCTTCCCCTCTGCAGCCTCCCGAAAATTTGTTACTGATTTCTTGATGAAAATAGAATGTTAATCACTGTTTTATCCTTATAGCAGGGCACAAGGCTCCTGGTAGTACATGTGCTCTGCCAATTTCTTACATGTGTTTGGCTTTGCATTTTTAGTATTGCTAGAAGTGGTGGTGCATGCCTGGAATCCCAGCTAACTCAGGGAGGCCGAGTTGGCACGGTTGTAAGTTTAAGTCTAGCCTGAGTAACTCAGCAAGACCCTCAAACTGGTGTATTGAGATGAAATTCACACAATTGAAGTGCATAATTAATTTTTGGGTATATCACAAGAAATTATTTTCTTTTTGTCTTTTTGAGACAGGGTCTTGCTGTGCGGTTCAGGTTGGCCTTGAGCTCAGTTTGTAGGGCAGGCTGGTCTCAAACTTGCAGAGATCCTCCTGCCTCAGCCTCCTAAGTGCTGGGATTATAAGCATGCACTACCACACCCACCCATTCATTTTAGCTTTCACATTTCACAGTTCAGTAGCATTAATTATATTCACAATATTGTAGAACCTTATTTCTAGAACTTAAGATCTCAAACAGAAACTCTTTATCTATGAAACAGTAACTCCCCATTCTTCTATCTCCCCACTCCTAGTACCCTCTACTTTTTGTCTCTAGGAATTTGCTAGTCTTAGATATTTTATGTAAGCAGTATTCTATTCTACTGGTCCTCTTGTGTCTGTTTATTTCATTTAGCATAATGTTTTCAAGGATCATGTGTGCTGCAGCAGAACTTCACACAATTTAATAATATCATAAGAGCCGGGAACAGTGGCGCATACATATGATCCCAGCCCTCAGGAGGCGGAGGCAGAATTGGAAGGAGTTTGAATCCAGCCTGGGCTACATAGTGAGTTCAAGGTCAACATGGACTGCATAGACAGACTGTCTCAAAACATCAAAAACCCATCTTCTCATGAGGGTTTAAATTTTTTTTTACTTTACCATGGTATAAAACTGATATGCATCAAATAGTGACCGTATTGTGAAGTTTCGGAAATTTTTAATTAGTACATGTGTAAAGCACATAATTCCTTGGGGGAGCTGGTGCCTGCACACAACACATCTTAATTCTTTTTTTATCTTTCTCTTCTCTCCCTCCCCATTTCCACCTTGATCCTTTGCCTTTTGGTTCTGGCTAGTGATAGTACAATACTCTCTCACGATGCTTGGTGGCAGCAGTGAGCCAGGGCGCCACCAGCTGTGAGGATCAGCAGGGAAAAGTGAATGGTCTACAGCAGTGAGGCAAACCCACCACGTGTGCTGCAGTGTAGGCTCACGAGCTGCACCCGGCCGAGGTTTGACCTGTTACGGATCAGCACACATACAACAGCTGAGATCACATTAACTGTGCAGAAGCACAGCAAATGCAGACTTCTACCTTTCAATAAAAAGTTGTTGGTATTACTGAAAGCTGTTATCGTTTTTCTCTTAAGACAAAAGACGTCACTGTATGAGTTTTTTCCTAATCTGAAACCTCAGTATTCAGGTTTAATTGCAGTGTTGGTGCTTTGCACAAGACAGTTTGGGGCTGCAGTTTGGCACTTGGTCTCTACGTTTGCCACCCCTGCCCTACGGTGATCGCTGCTAAACATGCATGGTGGGTTACGTGCATCAAACACATTTGTACTTTATGGTGGGTTGATCAGGATAGAATTTCATGTGAGGAGCATCTATGCTTATTTTGCTTATCCCTTTATGTGACCATGGACATTAGTTGGTTCTGCCTTTTGCCTACTGTGAATAACACCGCTATGAACACTGGCACACAGGTAGCATCTGGGCCTCTTTTCCATTAACTTGGGTATACGTCTGCGGGTAGAACTGCCAGTTCATACGGTTAATATTACTTAGCTTTCTGAGAAACGGCCAGAGCTTATGCTCTTTCACATCCCTGCCAACTATGTTCAGGATACTAAGTTCCTCACATCATTACCAACACCTGTCATTTTCCACATTACTGACATCCAGTGATGCAAGCAGTAATTCCACTGTGATCGTTCTAAGTCAGGTGACTCACATCACAATCAGCCATGACAAGTAGCACAGTACTTAGAGAATTCACAGTGTACACCTATCACCTTCCTCGAGTTTCAAAGCTGCTTCATCACCCAGAACAGCGCTGTAAGGACTCACTCCATTCTCTCCTGCCATCCCCAACAATCACTGTCTCTGTTGATTTGCCTAATCTGAATACTGCCTTCTTCCATTCAGCAATTTTTTTTTTTTTGAGACAGGGTCTTGTTATGCAGTTCAGGCTGGCCCTGAGCTCACTTTGTAGCCCAGGCTGGTCTCGAACTCCCAACGATCCTCCTGCCTCAGCCTCCCATGTTCTAGGATTACAGGCATGCACCACCATGCCTGGCAGAAATATTTTTAAAAATTAAAAAAAAATTAAACAGGAGACCATAAAATCCGTAACTTATTTTTAGTGACTTAAATTCTGGTCTGTTTCTACCTCAGAGAATGTCAAACACTTGGCACTGAAAAAATATGTTAGGGTAGGGCTCAAAAGGGGCCAGCTATTAAGTGGAACAATAATCTGGCCTCAAGCTCCCCAGGAGGAAAGGTCAAGGGTCCTGAGCAGGTAATGGGTAGTGGAACACAGGAAATGGGGAATGAGTGTCCTTAATACACAAAAGGTCTTACTCGACTTTCTTACAGGTGTCGTCTTTCTGTTAGAGAAAAAAAATCTATTTTTCACTTCTTCCAATCATGTATTCTGTACATGGTTTTTTAAATTGTGCTTCTCAGACTTTAGAAACATGGAAGTAAAAGCAAATACTCACTGTCCAATTACGTTTGTACAAAGATATCTCAACACTGAGCAGCATCAAGTCCTACTCTTCACTCACAACGGTGTTCACCGGCTGGTGTGGGAAGGGAAACAGGCAGTGAGAAGTTCCACCAAGGCACACGGCGAGCCGGTGGAGAGCTGCTGACGGGTCTGACGGCACCTCCCTGCTTCCTGACTGTCCAGCCGCCTCACGTACTTGTCAGAATAGAACCCACGACGGCAAGGGTGCCAGGGCGAAGCCTACAGTCTGCTGCAAAGCAGGGAACCCTGTGTTAACAGCAACTGAGCTTTTCCCCGCATTGATCTTATACGGGATCGCAGGTCCCGCGGTGCACCCCGGATGCAACCAACCAGTGTGACAACCAAAACTGGGAAAGCGGGCGGGAAAGCGGGGAAAGTGGTACAAAGGGGCTCCACCACCTATCAGGAAGAAAACTAGTGGTCTGTATTCTTCGGGTTAGGCTCTTAGGCCTTGGTGGGCTTCTGGTGCTCTCTCGCTGTCCCGCAATCCTGTTCAGACACCCGAATGACAGGGTAAAGGTTCGCTGTCTGAACTTACTCTCCCCCAGCTGACTGAAGCTAGACAGCAGCGGCTGCTTGTTCCCTCAGTTTCGCACTCTGTTTTGTTTAAACACGGCTAGTTTCTATGCAAAGAAAGCTGCGAGACACAATTCTCATGAGCGCCCACTGTCTCTGACATTCCAGGATTACTGTACTTGAAAGGCAGGTTGGGAATACACAGCTGTCAGACTGTGAGTCAGCTGTCTCCTGAGCACTTCCCCAGGCTCTCTGAGTTTCCCGCTCTCTGGAAGCCTGTGTGGGGCTCCCTACGCCGGGCCTCTCCAGCAGCTTACACGCTGCTGTGGGCAGCTTGCTGGACCCAGGTCTTCCTCTGGCTTGGGCATGCCAGGGTGAGTGGTTCTGAAGCACTCCAGCTGGTCTTCTGGCTGTAGAAGGATGACTAGTAAAGTAATATTAAACTATCCCAAAGTTAATAGGGTTGGCCGTAAAAGACTGTCAATATATAACCATTTTGACTTTTTTTTTTTTTTTTTTTTTTTTTTTGTCTCTTTGAGACAGGGTCTTGCTATGCAGTTCAGGCTGCCTTGAGCTCACTTTGTAGCCCAGGCTGGTCTTGAACTTGCAACGATCCTCCTGCCTCAGCCTCAGAGTGCTGGGATTACAGGCGTGCGCCACCACACCCGGCCATTCTGACTTTTGAAAATGGCAATTTCATATCGTTGAGCTTAAACTTTCAATAAGGGAAAGACACAAAACTAATGTCCAAAGAATCTACTGCCTGCAGGAGGAAGCATAGTATGTTCAGAACACTGACTTCCCAATTCCTTATTAGTTTTGTCTGAGTCTCTTTTATGGGTTGCATTGTGTTCCCAACCTCAAAGAAACAGGAAGTCCTCATTTCCAGTACTTCATAATGTGATCTTTTTTGGAAACAGGGTCCTTACAGAGGTAATCAAGTTAAAGTGAGGTAATTCAGGTGGACTCTATAATACGCTGGTGTCCTTACAAAAAGGGGAAATGAAGACAGAGACAAAGGCATGCACAGAGGGAAATATGTGAAAACAGGGAGAATGGTGGTGCTTCCACGAGCCAAGGAATCTCTGAGGCCAGAGACGCCTGGGGGAGGCTTGAAACATTTACTTCCCTTGTACCTTCAGAAGGGGCATGACTTTGAGATATCATAATTGTGGACTTCTGGCCTCCAGAACCGTGAGACAGTGTGTTTTCACTGGTTTCAATCACATTGTTTGAGGCACCTTGTTACACACCTAAGAGAACAACGTAGGCTCCCTCCACTGATGTCCAACTGTGCCACTGGGAAAACACAACAGCAAAGCCTATGTTAAAAAAAGTACAGTGGTTTAATCCGTAGAACTCTAGGCAAGAGATCTGAGGTATCCATTCTTATAGGAACCAGCTGTGTTCCCACCCTGGCCAAAAGATATGTTTGTTCAGATACAACGAAGATGGCTTTGTAATTTACAACGTACATACGCACACATGTGTACACCTACACACAATCCCACGTATTTCCTTTTTCGGTTGTCTAGCATTTCCTAGTTTGCAGCGCAAGCTTCAACACAGATTTTTGTCTTCAGTCTGAGGTGGGGCAGATGCCACGGTTGTGCAACTTTAAGGAGCCCATTCAAATTTCAGGAGCCCCACACAGGTACCCTAAGGAGTTACACAGAATTGCCAGTACTCTCACGGGAGTATTTCTTCTTAAAAAGGTTAGAAGGTGGAAAGGGGGCTCCGGGAGTGGTGCTCAGAAGGCTGTTCCCGAAGGTCAGTGTCAGCAGCTTCCCCGCGCATCCGTAGTGCAGGAGTGGGGGCACCTCCTCTTCTGGAGAAGGGGAAGCCTCACAGAAAGTGAGGTGGAATTCACCAGAAGCTCTTCTAAGTCAGTTTTTTATTAGGGTCCAGTGCTATAAATAAGCCTAAAGAAAATAAGAGGATGATTGTAAGTCAGCTGACTTCAATCTGATGAGAAAACTAATAGGAGGACACACACAAAGGAAGGCATTTAGATTCATATTCATGTCTTCCCTCTCTCTGCCTACCCTCATTTTTCAGCTAACCTAAACTAAGAATCAACTTTCGGGTGTCACAATCCAAAAGTATAACCTCCCCCCAGATAACCAGGTCCTCTACTACTTGGCCATTTCGTGGCTCATTACCACTTTCCTTAGACATAGCTACGGAAATGAAAAGAAGTAAAATTACAGCTGAGCCATCTGGTACCTTTATGATAGGGAAAGGTTTAGTCAGACGAGAATTATAATACAGCCTGGAATGGAGTTATAAACTGACTTAATTCAAATTATTCACATCTTCTCCCCACGCCTTTATCCGTCATTTCTGCGAACAGCTGATACTTAGGTGAAAAATGAATTTCTTACGAGACACAAAGAGCATTAACCATAAAGGGCAAAACAGAGTAAGTGTGACTAAACTAACATTAAAAACTTCTGTTCCAAAAAAGGTAGCTCAGGCTGGGGACATAGCTCAGGGCACAGCGCCTGCCTGGCAAGCGTGAGATCGTGAGTTCAATTCCCAATACAAAAAAAAAAAAGATAGCTTAAAGCAAACAGAAAATAACTTACACACTGGAAAGAGATATGTGCCCCATATAGATATCTATGTTTATATCTATATCCGTATCTATATGTCCAACAAAAGGATTAGGATAACATTAAATATAAAAAGAATGCTTACAGATCAGTAAGAAAATGAGAAAAACCCAAAGAAAGCTGAAAAAGCAAATAGGAATTTCGCAGAATGGAGAAAAAATATGATCAGTAAACAAATGAAGAGATACTAAATTTCAATCAGGAAAATGCAAATCAAGATTACACTGAGATACCATTTTAAAACCATTTAATTGGCAAAAATCAAGAAGTCTGACTTTACCAACTGTCACAGAAGATAGAGATCAGAAGACTCTCTTATATGGCTAGTGGGAGTGTAATTTGGTACAGCTTTAGAAAACAATTTGGCAATAGCCAGGTTTGGTGGTGCATGCCTTAATCCCTGCACTCAGGAGGTTGAGGCAGGAGGATTGCTGTGAGTTCGAGACCAGCCTAGGCTAGAAAGTGAGCTCAAGGCCTGCCTGAACTGCATAGCGAGACCCTGTCTCAAAAAGACAAAAAACAAAAAAACCCAAAAAAAACCAAAAAACAAAGTGGCATTCCATTGAAAGCTGAATGTACACACACTCTACAACCAGAAATTCTGCTTCTCAGCATATGCCAGGGATGTCAAACCTTTCAGAGACAAGTGCCCAAACTGCAACCCAACACAGACTATTTATCACAAGGTGCTAACACCACAATGAAACCTGAATACTGAGGTAATCCATTCATACTTTCTTTTTTTTTTTTTTTTTGGTTTTTCTCCAGTACCGGGAACCGAACTCATGACCTTGCGCTTGCCAGGCAGGCACTTTTGCCACTGAGCTAAATCCCCAGCCCCATTCATACTTTCTGAAGGCAGAGTGGAGTCTCCTGCCTGGTTCCCTTCCCAGGGAACAGTGACACAAGTCACGTGTGTGATCTCCATGAGACAGTCTGTGCGTGCAAGGGTATACACATATTTTCCCTTCCTCACTTATACTTCGAATTTTGAAACAGTTTCAAGCTTACAGAAGATTGTGGGGCCAGTACAAAGATATATTTCTCCCCAACTGTTGGACAGTAATTTGGCAAAATGTGTGTAAAATGACAAGTTACTTGTTACAGCACTACTTCCAAGAGTAAAAGACTGGGAAGATGCACACGCCCAGGGTCTCCAGTTCCACGCAGCCACAAGATTCACTCTATTTCTCTGTTTCCATACCTGTAACTCTTCTCTGACAGTCACAGCCTCGTCCCATCACTGCTGCCAGCCACTAGAGGCCACCCTCAGTCTGCCTGGGCGCCGGCACCCACGCCACTCTCCAGGGGACACCTTCTCTATCTTCCTCGGGCTCTGACACTGTGTGTGGCAGACCCCCACCGCCCTGCCACTCGGAGGATGACAATGCACTGGGCCACTACAGCCACCTTCCCCAGGCCTTTAGCACTGAGCTCACTGCGCTCAATGAGTTCTCATGCGAGAACTGTAAGGCAAATACATTATATATTAGTGCACATACCTGCGAGATAAAGCCCTGGAAGTGGGCCAAAGCCTTCGTAACACTGTAACTTTTTTTTTAAACAAGGCCTTGCTACATAGTCCAGGCTGGCCTTGAACCCGAGGTGGTCCTTGATTCAGCCTCCTGAGTGCTGAGATTACACATGCGCACCACCATGCCTGGCACAATTTTGTAATTTTGACAGATATTGGCGAAAGCCCTTTATAGCACGGCACAGTACAAGAAACTTTTGACCTGCTCTGTGGATAACAGGTAATTAAGAATTTCTGGGTATGTGTGGATTATAAAACCAAAGCAAACAAAACAAAACTAGAACCCAACCCAACCCCCAAAAAGAGAGTGGCAGCTCCTTACTTGTTGCCTCTGAGTACAAGGTCTCCTCACTGACACTTCGAACACTACAGGAAACAAAAAATTTCCTTCCTTCAACTCTATCAAGTTGGCCATCTATCACAACAACAGAACAAAGGGGAATAGGTCTGTGGAAGTGGAGAAAAAAGAAAAAAATTAGTCTTCGTAATGTTTTATAATATGGAAAGACGACCAAGTGCATGATGAGGATGAAAATCCATGATACTTGGTCTCAGTGAGCAATGGTTCCCTCAGATCAGACCTCCTCACTGGCTCACCAAGTCTCCTGTCTCGCCCGCCCCCACCCTAGCACCGCTGCTCTCTCGAGGCTGCAGGACAGAAGGCTGGACATTCCAGGTTGCCCTGCTGGGCTGGGTTCAAAGAGCTATGGGAATTCCAGCTCTGTGATGGCAGGGACTGTCCTGCTGGAGATGAGAGCAAAGTCTGAAGGAAGCTGAAATTCTATCAAGAAGGGAAAACAGGGCCTTGGGATGGTCCTCCATCTGCTTCTTCCATTCTAAAACTTCTCACCAATTCCTTTAGAGCAAGTCACTAGAAAGACACCTAATAACAAGTTGCCGGTAACAGCTGACTGCTCTAAGCCAGTGCTGTCTAACAGAACTTTCTGTGAGGATAGGAATGCTCCATGTCCGAGCTGTCTAACATGGCATCCCAAGTAGCTACTGAGCATTAAAATATGGCCAGTAGGAGTGAGAAATTCAATCTTTATATAATTTTGACTAATTTCTATTAAAATAGCTACATGTGACTAGTGGCCACAGTCACTTTTGGGACTCCTGGAGATATACAGGACCACAGTGAGAAAGGTATCTCTTCAAAGGTGAGATTTCAGTTGGTGGAGACATAAGGTAGGGCATGGAAATGTTTTCTGCTTCTACAGGACTACCATGTGGGACAAGGGAACTATTCTAGGTAGGAAGGAAGTTATCACTTTAATTATACCCCTTCTGCAATTAAAAAAATTGAGATTATTGTAACTTTACATCAATATATTTCAAAACTTAGAGGTCATGGAAATTTTTTTTTAAATGTTATCAAAATTATAGTAAAGGATCAGAAAGCCTGAATAGCTGAATAAGGAAGATTCTGAGGCCCCAGTAGCATAGAAAAGCCATACTCATGAACAGCCCAGGTCTCCGAATCATGTCATGGTGTAAGTCCCTCCCTGACCTGGATAACAGAGCACTGTACGTAAACAAAAAACATCTAGTGACTTACACTAGCAAAACGCTGAAAGCTGTTTTTTGTTAACCCTTAGGATTAAGACATTATCCTTACTTACACATAGACCCTGTTTACGTTATCTCTACGCTTACCAGTTTATTTGCTGTTTCTTCTTTCATCCTCCTGCCTATTGGGATTATTTTCTTTCTCTTTCGGAAGTACAACCTGTAGACGTTCCCTGAGTAGTGTGCTATTGTTCTATAAACTCTCTTTAGTTGTGTTTAAATGAGAATATCTTTATTTTGCCTTTGAACTTTGGTTTGCTGAGGCCCTGACTTTACGATCACATGTTTCTTTCAGTAAATTGCAGATACATTATTATATTTTAGCTTCTACAGTTGTGTAATGGTGCCCTCTTGCTTCTGAGAAGATGACCACTATAGGTGTCCTCTCTTTTGTCTCTGATGAACTGCTTTTAAGATCTCTTTATTTGTAATATTCTGCAATTTCTGTAATATTTTCCACATAGCTTTATATCTATGTATCCTGCTTGACATTTGTTATGCTTCCTGTATCTATGGATTTATGACTTTCTTTAGTTGTAGAATATGCTTACCCATTTTATCTTCAAATACTGAGCCTCTTGCATTCTATTCTATTTTAGGATTCTGATTAAAGAATATTGTAATACTACTGTCCTCAAACAAAACCGTGTGTGACTCTCAGGCGTATGTTTACATGATGGTCATGTGACTGCGCTGTGAGTTAGCTGTGCCTCAACACGGGCGGTCCAGGAAGAGGCACTCTAGACACTGCTTGCTTGTGAGCGGCATCTGCAGACAAGCACCTTCTACTTGATAAAAACTTGTTTCTATCATGGAATATTTTACAAATGAATATAGGTAACCTGTTGTAAAGTATTTTGTACTAAAATGGAAATTTAAATGTATTATTTCAGAGTTAATAAGTGCTGTATTTGTTCTTCTTTAATTAATTAATTTTTTGTCTTTTTGAGATAGGATCTCTCTATGCAGTTCAGGCTGGCCTTGAGCTCACTTTGCAGCCCAGGCTGGCCTCAAACTCCCAACAATCCTCCTGCCTCAGCCTCCCGAGTGCTGGAATTACAGGAATGAGCACTATGCCCAGCTCTTTTTTATTTTAAAGAGAAAAAATAAAATTTCAAAACAAGATAATAGAATAACAATGGTTAATACACTGCATATTGTTTTCTTTTTTTTTTTTTGGTCTTTTTGAGACAAGGTCTCGCTATGCAGTTCAGGCTGGCCTTCAACTCACTCTGTAGCCCAGGCTGACCTTGAACTCTCCTGCTTCAGCCTCCCAAGTGCTGGGATTACAGGTGTGTGCCAGCACTCCTGGCAAGTACTGTTATCTTTAAATTAGTTACTCAGAGTCAAGATACAGGCATTTAACAGTCCAAACAATATTAGCACAAACCTTTCTTTTCAATGAACTAAGAGAGATTAGTACTATACCATATATATATATATATATGATATACATATATAATTTTTTTTGCATTTCCCTTTCTTCTTTTCTCCTTTCCCCCATCCCAGTTTCTCTTTCCTTTAGAAAAGTTTCTTCCCATTTTACAATAGCTATTGTACATTTTGGATCTTATTTACTCTTTTACCACTTCTCACACTAGGGAGACAATACAATGTTTACAAATGTGAGTCTGGTTTCTTTCTTTTTTTTTATTTTTTGTCTTTTTGAGACATGTTCCCACTATGCAGTTCAGGCTGGCCTTGAGCTCACTTTGTAGCCCAGGCTGGTCTCAAACTCACAACAATCCTCCTGCCTCAGCCTCCCAAGCGCTGGGATTATAGGCATGTACCACCACGCCCAGCTGAGTCTGGTTTATTTCACTTATAAGTATGGTCTGGGGGCTGGGGATTTAGCTCAGCAGCACAGCACCTGCCTGGCAAGTGCAAGGTCACGAGTTTGATTCCCGGTACCGGAAAAAAACCAAAACAAAAAAAAAAAAAAAAAAAAAGTTTGGTCTGGAGTTGCATCTATTTACCTATAAAAATCTTCAGTTTATCCTTCTTTATGGCTGAGTAGTATTCCACTGTACAGAAAGAACACATCTTTTTCACCCATTCCTCGGGTGATGGGCATTTGGGTTGTTTCCAAGATTTAGCTATTACAAATTGTGCTGCTATAAACCTGGGCACACATATATTGCCGTGGTATGATGTTTTTAATCCTTCTGGGAAAATACCCAGAAGGGGAATAGTTGGATCAAATAGGACCTCCAATCCTAGTTTTTTGAAGAATCTCCACACTGATTTCCATAGTGGTTGCATCAGTCTACACTCCCACCAACAGTGGAGAAGGCTATATTTGTTCTTAATTTTAAATTTGTCTTGTAAAATTTTGTAACTGTTATCTAAAAGCATTCTACAGAAATATGACTTATGAAAAAGCATTAAAACAATCTGTTAAAATGGTAGGCCACCACCTACAGTACAGATAAAATAGGACATAAACTCCTAATCCTAATTCTGACCATGATTAATAAGAAGAGGCAGCTGTTTCTAGTCATATTTTATATTTCAAAGTGTCTGATCTCCAGGTAGCATTACAGCAATTAAAGCTTTCTATTTTCACTTCAAGACTGGTGCAACTGACCTAGGTGTTCAACAACTGAGGCCTGGAGAACAAAGCTAAGTAGGATAACTGGGCTAAGAGGACAGCCAGTATTCTGGTCCTTGCCTTCCAAGGTCAGCCAGGACCCATTGCATGAGGGACCTCTCTGAAAGGATCTTGCAACTCAGTGAGTCATCCAACCTCCCAAGCCGGGTGACTGCTGGACCCCAGAGGACAGGAATCAAGCAATGTGCATTCTGCAAAAAGGTCACTGAAGAGGAAACGTCCCCCATGTTTCTAAGGGAAGCCACATGGTCAAGCAAAGATCATGATCCAACCTGGTATATGAAACAACTGGTAGAGGAAAAAACTAGGGGAACTAAGAGGCTCCCACATCGCCCCAAAAGTAACTCATAAAGAGCCTTCACTGACTGGACAAGTGTGGACAGGTGTGTGTAAGTGTGTGTGTGTGTGTGTGTGTAGGTGTAGACAGACAGATGGAGAGAGAGAGAATAATTCTGATTAATATGTCTTATTTTGACTTGGTATTTAAGACCCATCAGAAAAATATAAAAAAATAGAGAATAAAATGTTAATATTAAACAAAGCTAGGCCAACCCCTGCTGACAGTCTCCAGCTATACCTGTAACTTATACTCATAGAAAAGTTCTGGTAGCTAGTCACAGTAGCTATTCCAAAACTGTGTCCCTCAGCCTCTCTTAATATACTCCCATTATGTTATTCTGATCTACTTTTTTTTTTTTGTCTTTTGAGACAGGGTCTCACTATGCAGTTCAGGCTGAACTTGCGCTCACTTTGTAGCCCAGGCTGGTCTTGAACTTGCAATGATCCTCCTGCCTCAGCCTCCCGAGTGCTGAGATTACAGGCATGCGCCACCATGTCTGGCCCTCTGATCTACTTTTAAGTACCCCTCAGGTAAAGATTTACCTCCTTGTATAGGTGTGCCTATAAAATACAAATGGAAATATAAATATTCGAACTACTGAGCTTTGCTACCTTTTTGGTGTAAGTTAACTTTATATTATCTAGAGTTAGTCACTATGAAGGGTCTTCAGCTCTACAAAAGAGGGCAGATATGGTTCATTTTTTCTTTTTTTTTCTCCTTTTTTTAATCTATATAGTTCTGTCTGGTCTGGAACTCTCACTATGTAGCCCAGGCTGGCCTTCAACTGGCAGCAATTCTCCTGCCTCAGCCTCCGGAGTTCTGAGTGCTTGGATTATAGGCATATGCCACCATGCCTGGCTAGATATGGCTCTTAAGCCCTATAGTAAAAAATCTGTGAGCCGGGCGTGGTGGCACACGCCTGTAATC